GGTCCGTAGGCATTTGGTGGTCATAGGTAACGGACAGATTTATGGACAGACGAGCCGTGGTGGACAGCTGCGGACACATGCCATGGACGTTTCAAACGACGGACTGTAGTTATGAATGCAGACTCAACCGAGGACAGGTCATGGACTGGTCCTCGGACAGACTGATGGACACAATAGACACGGTGGACAGTTGGGGACTGTACAAGGACAGCCACGGACAGTTGGGGACTGCACAAGGACAGCCACGGAGAGTTGGGGTGGGGACTACACCAGGACAGCCACGGACATATGCGGACCATTCCACGGACTGTCCATTGGCTCATCAGGGATATCGAGGGTTCTTTTGACTAACTTCCTTTTTTACTTTCCAGTTGACTCCACCACTCGTGACCAGGAAAGCAGCCGCCAGTAGAACTGTAATTTGAGTTTTGTTCATAAGACTTGCGCTTTTTTTGTAGGTATTTATCCCTTTGAACAATCTGTATTCAGGCATGTGCCTTCTTTGTATTTCAGGGTCTCCAAACTATTGGCACTGAGGAAATGGTAATCGAAAACCCTAAGGCCAAAGCAATGCCATCCTTTGCCTCTGTAAAGGTATGTTACACCGTTCTATATGCACATAATTTGTTGCGTGAAAAAGAGGTGCTTTGTACTGAGTTAAGGAGATGCCTTTTTTTTTCTAGAATAAACTTGAAGCTAGGCTGTCGAAAAAAGAACAGGTGAGCTGGTAAAGCTAAAGATGGGTTTACTACTCTAGAGGATCTGATTTTATTTACAAGCATTTTTATTTTCTAGTATAAACTTTCTGTTGCTGAGAACTTACATTTTTTCCAGACTTCCAGAAAGGGTAGACAGATAATTCAGAGTGACGACGATGAGGAGGAAGAGAATATGGACTTCGAACCAGCAACGAAAGTAAGTGGAGTTAATTTTTTCCCACTTTTAGTTATTTTATTCAATTGCTTTGCCCTCACACTTCACACTTTTTTGCTGCTGCAGAAGGGGGAGACTAAGAGTTCAAAAGCAAAGTCGTCTAAGAAGAACGTAAAGTTAACACCTAGTAAAGTCATGAGAGCTTTTAGCGAGGACAAAATGTGCAATGTTTTACTTCAAGTTTTGACGCCTGAAGAACTTAAAGCAGCAACAGCAGCAGCAGATCAGGTAAATTTAGCAAACTGCCGCAAATTTTGCTAGGAATTGAGTTATATAACTTCATATTTCACTTCACATATCTTTTAAATATTGTAAATATATTCAAATGTGGGATTTTAGACCAATTGCAGGATATATCTTAACTCTGTCTCTTGTTAAAAAATGTTAATGCATGTTCTTTTCTTTTGCAGGACAAGCAGGCATAATTGTGGCTGACATTTGATTGTGACTTTTGAATTGTACTTTTACTTGTGCTTTGAATCTTTTAATCATTTTTGAATGTTTTAATTACATTTTACATTTTCATTTTACATTTTTTTCTTCCCGGGTGAAAAAACATTGACAGTAAATTTGTATACAGAGTCAATTGTATAAGGCTGTATAAAGGTAGCTGTATTACATTTGGTAAAACTGTATTACTTTGTCAGTAT